AACACGTCCATAGTAGACATGTTGTGAAAAACTAACTCTATTTCCCTTAATCCTATCCTGCCCTCCCATTTATTCTATTCTTTCTTTTGACCCTGTCTCTCCTCAGAAGTATTTACTTCTGATTACCCCTTTCCCAATCTGCCCTCCTCTCTATCATCCCCTATTTTCCTGTAGGGTAAGACAGATTTCCATACCCAATTGAATGTGTATGTTATTCCCTCCTTAAGCCAAATCCTATGAGAATAAGATTCACTCATTCCCTCTCACCTTCCCCTGTTTCCCCTCCACTGTAAGAGACTTTTCTTTTCTGTTTTTTTTTTGTGTGATAATTTACCCCATTCTACCTCTCCCTTTCTTCTTCTCCAAGTATAATCCTCTCTCATCCCTTAATTTTATTCTCCAGATATGACCCCTTAATCTTCAACTCACCCTGTGCCCTCTATCTATCTATCTACATACACATACATATAATTTTTTTCCTCCAACTACCCTAATACTGACAAAGGTCTCATGAGTTATAAATATCATCTTTCCATGCAGGAATGTAAACAGTTCAATCTTAATAAGTCTCTTATGATTTCTCTTTCCTGTTTACCTCTTCATGTTCCACTTGAGTCCTGTATTTGAAAGTCAAATTTTCTATTCAGCTCTGGTCTTTTCATCAAGAATGCTTGAAAGTCCTCTATTTCACTGAATGACCATTTTTTCCCCTGAAGGATTATACTCAGTTTTGCTGGGTAGGTGATTCTTGGTTGTAATCCTATCTCCTTTGCCCTCTGAATATTATATTCCATGCCCTGTGGTCCTTTAATGTAGAAGCTGCTAAATCTTGTGTTATCCTGATTGTGTTTCCACAGTACTTGAATTGTTTCCTTCTGGCAGCTTGTAATATTTTCTCCTTGACCTGGGAACTCTGGAATTTGGCTATAATATTCCTAGGAGTTTTCCTTTGGGGATCTCTTTCAGGAGGAGATCTGTGGATTCTTTCAATTTCTATTTTGCCCTCTGGTTCTAAAATCAGGGCAGTTTTCCTTGATAATTTCTTGAAAGATGATGTCTAGGCTCTTTTTTGATCATGGCTTTCAGATAGTCCAATAATTTTTAAATTCTCTCTCCTGGATCTATTTTCCAGGTCAGTTGTTTTTCCAATGAGATATTTCACATTGTTTTCTAATTTTTCATTCTTTTGGATTTGTTCTACTGTGTCTGATTTCTCATAAAGTCACTACTTCCAATTGCTCTATTCTAATTTTTAAGGAAGTATTTTCTTCAGTAATCTTTTGGACTTCCTTTTCCATTTGGCCAATTTTTCTTTTTAGGGCATTCTTCTCCTCATTGGCTTTTTGGACCTCTTTTGCCATTTGGGTTAGGCTATTTTTTAAGGTGTTAATTTCTTCAGTATTTTTTTGGGTCTCCTTTAGCAAGCTGTTGACTTGTTTTTCATAATTTTCTTGCATCACTCTCAGTTTTTCCTCTACTTCCCTTATTTGCTTCTCAAGATCCCTTTTGAGCTCTTCCATGGCCTGGGACTAATTCATATTTTTCTTGGAGGCTTTGGATGTAGGAGCTTTGACTTTGTTGTCTTCTTCTGGTTGTATATTTTGATCTTCTTTTTCACCAAAGTAAGATTCTATGGTCTGACTCTTTTTGCACTGCTTGCTCATGATCCTGGCCAATTACTTGAGTTCTGAACTCTTTGTTAAGGTATAAATCTGCTTCCAGTGTGGAGAATGTACTGTCCCAAGCTTCGGGGGTTTGTACAGCTGTTTTCAGAGATACTTGTAGGGCCCTGTAAATTTTCAGTTCTTCCAAGGTGGTATGATAAGGGGTGAGGTGTTTACTCCTTTCCTGACCTGTAACTGTGAGGAGGGGTTCCTCTTCACAGCCACTACAAGCTCCACCAAGCCAGAGCTCCTCCTCACCCCAGGACTGCCGCCCAGAACTGTGGCCCAGATCTAAACACGGGCAAAGCAAGAGATTCCTGCCTCAGCACTGGCAAAAAGATCCCTGCAATCCCTCTCTGATCAGCCACTGGATTCCCCCTCATTCTGTGGGCCAGAAGCTTGGGGAAGCAGCTGCCCTCCCCCCCCAAGGGCCACACTCTTGGGGAATGGAGCTGAAACCCTGCCTACCTTTCTCAGCACCACAGAAACAGACTTTTCCCACTGACCTTCTAAGTTGTCTTTGGCATTGGTGGATTGAGGAGTCTGGAAACCTCCACAGCTGCCAGAGATTCAGTCCTCTGAGGCCTGCTCCAGGTTCGCAGCAGCCTGCGCGCCCACGCTGCGCTCCCAGCCTGGCGCAATACACCTTTCTGATTGATCATCCAGGTTGTCTTGGGCTGGAAATTTCTTTCACTCTGTCTTTTTGTGGGTTCTGCTGCTTCAGAATTTGTTTAGAGCCATTTTTTATGAGTATTTGGAGGGGTTTGGAGGAGACCTCAAGCAAGTCACTGCTTTCATTCTGCCATCTTGGTTCTGTTCCCCCTCCTGACAGATTCATAAGAGAATTCTGTCAAACTTTTCAAAAACAATTAGTAACAATGCTAGACAAATTATTCTCAAAAACTGATAAAATATCGGATTCTTTTTATGCCCCATCTAAATGTATACATGACCTTAATATTAAAGATCATGCTGTTAAAAATTTAGAAGAAAAACAAATTATAAATCTCTCACAACTATAGGTAGGGTTTTTTTGGGTTTTTTTGCTTTTTGGTGAGGCAATCGGGGTTAAGTGACTTGCCCAGGGTCACACAGCTAGTAAGTGTCAAGTGTTTGAGGCTGGATTTGAGGGAGATGTATTCTTAACCAAACAATGGAGAGAGACAATTACGAAAGATAAAATAGATAATTTTCATTACATAAACTGAAAAGGTTCTAGACAAACAAAATCAACGCACCTAGGATATCAGTCAGTCAGGCAATAAATATTTATTAAGCATTTACTACGTGCCAGGCACTGTGCTAAGTGCTGGGGATACACAAAGAGGAAAAAGACAGTCCTTGCCCTCAGGGGGCTCACAATTTAATGGAGGGGACAAGAAAACAAGCTATACAGGAAAAATAGGAAGTAAAAAAGGGAGGGTACTAGAATTAAGAGGTATTGGGATAGAGATGAGATTTTAGCTAGGACCTGAAGGAAGCAGGAGAGCAAGGAAACAGAGATGAGGGATATGGGACAACCAGAAAAAAATCCCAGAGCCAAGAGATGGGGTGTTTTGTTTGTGAAACAGCCAGGAGGCCAGTATCACTGGATCGAAGAGAAAGGTGTAAGAAAGCTGAAAAGGTAGTAGGGGGTTAGGTTAGGAAGGGCTTTGAACATCAAACAGAGGATTTTGTATTTGGTTCTGGAGGCAGTTGAGAGGCACTTGACTTTTATTGAGTAGGAGTCCACTCGGTCAGACACACATTGTAGGATAATCACTTGACAGCTGAATGGAGGATGCACTGAAGTGAGGATAGACCCCCTCAACCCCATCTCTTTGCAGATGTAAGAGGTTCACACTGCTATAAATTGCATATATTTTCAGACTTTTTCAATGTGTCAATCAATTATGCTAGACTTTTTCCTTCTTTTTCTATCTTTTAAAAGATACTATTTATTATATAGCACGGCTATCTAGTATGGAGAGAGAAAAAGGAATATTGGGGGACATTATGGTGAAGGAAAAAAAATAAAAATAAATATATAAAAATTCATTTAAAATGAAAGAAGAGATAATTGGTAGCTTCGGAGAAAGTTTCAGCTGAGTGATGAGGTTGGAAGCCAGATTGCAAAAGGCTTCGGCATGAGAGAATAGGAAGTGAAAGCAGCGAATGTATAAATGTTTTCAAGGCAGGGAAAGGAGAAGAGACATAGTTTGCAGGGATGGTGGTAGGGTCTGGTGATGTGTTCTTTTTTTTTTTTTTTTTTAGGATGGGTGAGACTTGGGCATTTTTGAAGACTGTGGGGAAGGAAGCAATTGGAAGGGTAAGATTTGAGATGGGAAGGGATAATTGAATTGAGGATGAAATCTCCTAGAGAATATGGAAAGAGATGGGATCAAGCCAAAGGGGTCAGCATTGACAAGAAGGATCATCTCTTTGCCATAGACTGGTGGAAAGGAAGAGAGAGTGGGAGATGGTGTCAAAGGGTTTTGATATGAATAGAATGAATGGAAGGAGAGGGAGGTCATGGCAAATGACCTCAACTTTTTTTTGGTAAAATAAAGGGCAAAGTCTTCCGTTAAGTTGGGGAAAAGGGAGATGTGGAGAGCTAGAAGAGGCAAGAGAAGGTTTAGTATAACTTCTGTGGGGAGCAAGATAAGGAATCAATTAGGGCAAAATAAAAAGATTGTCTTGAGGTAGCAAGGGCCTAGTAGAGGCTGAATAATGTGAATTTATAATGTGCCTCCTCCTCTTCTCATTAGGAAGTTCGACTGAGGAGGCTTTCCCCAACCCCAGGGATTTCTAGGTATCATTAGGATGCCAAAACTAAGGCTCTGATGCTTTGACCCTTAAGTCTTCCAGAGCCCAGATGAGGAGGGCACAGATATCATAGATAGAGATGAAGCAGGGAATTAAGTTAAGCATTACTCCTGCTTTGACCATCAGAGCCAAGACATCCACTGAGCCTTTTACAATTCAACAAAGCAATTTTCAATGTCTTTACCCTTCAAAATTGGGGTGGGGATGGCTAGGCCATAGGATCATCAGCTTGAAAATAATCCTGCCATTATTTTGCCTCATAGAAGGCACCAGAACCAAACCACAGACTCTGAAAGAACTAAAGCAGTGTTTGTGGGCACTGAGTTCTCACAGAACCCTGCACTTATCCACGCTTGTCCAGAGGAGAAGTCACTTCCTCTTGTCGATTCCCACCCTCGCCCCCGCTTTTGACACCACACTCGGAATTAACCTTCCTCCTCTCACATGGTTACCAAGAACCAGGTACCTCTGTTTTTGTCGAAGAGGATCTGATAGAAGGCAGACAGAGGGTACTGGGTGGGAACTAGACAAGGTGCCTTGGGTCTCACTGCCTTCACCTTCCTTAACAATCTTGTCAGAGATGCCATGGAGGGGATTTCTGCAAAGGATAAGGAGTCAGAAAAAAAAAAAGGCCTCTGAGGTCTCTTCCAACTTACTGAGTCTATAAAATCACATCGAGTAGGACCCTCAACGTATCCAAAACAGAACTTACTCCTCCCCCTGCCCCAATCCCACTTCTCCTTCAGGTTTCCCAATTTTTGGAGGAGGCACCACCAGCATCTTCCTAGTCCCCCAGGTTCCAAACCTCAGCACCATCCTTGACTCTTTTCTCTCCCTCACCCCTCAACCAGTCACCAAATCTTGTTCATTCTAACTCAATATTGTAACTAACAATTCTAACAATATTGTATTCTAACAATACTGTAACTCAAGTAATCAATCACCAAACATTTATGATGTGCCTACTTATGTGCCAAGCCCTGTGCTCTACAACTCTCAAATCCATCCCTCTCTTCTCTTCACTCATACAGACACTGCCCTAATTTAGGATCGGGAGTATTATAATGAGGACATTGGTCTACTTGATTCCAATCTCTCCCTTTTCATTAACCCATCCTACCCAGCACATGGCTTGCAAGGAATCTGACCATGTCATTCCCATTCACAAAAAAAATCTTCAGAAGCTCCAATTTTTCTCAAATACTCAAAGGGGTCTCATTGATTTGAGAGTTTTCCCAGGGGTTGTAATCCACATATCCTGTCCTGTCTCTTCTTCAAGTCCTCCCATAAACTGTTCGTGGGAGTCTACCCAACATATTGGGGATCCGCCTCAATTTCTCCTGACATCGTGAGACCAGTGGAGCACTCTATTCACCTGTCATTCTTTCTCACTGATAGTAACCAGTGACCAACCTAACTTTTCCTATCATACAATCTCATGATGATGCTTTAATCCTCTTCATCCGTTTCTCATTGTTTCTATTTCACTACTGACTGCTCGTTCATAGCATATGCTTCTCCACTGCCCTCTTGTGGTTCCCATCTGAATTCAGAAGCAGGTGTATTCCTTGTCTCACTGTCATATAGCAACCAGTAGAATATCTGTATTAAAGATAGACCTTTTGAGGCAGCTAGGTGGCATAGTGGATAGAGCAGTGGCCCTGGAGTCAAGAGGACCTGAGTTCAAATCCGGCCTCAGACACTTGACACTTACTAACTGTGTGACTCTGGGCAAGTCACCTAACCCCTAGCAAAAAAAACCAAAACAAACAAAAAAAGGTAGACCTTTTATTCCCTAATTGATAAGCAACAGATGTGAATAAGATGTGAACTCTCAAGAAAAGAAATAAGAACTATAGGTTACTGAGTCATTTTCAGTTATGTCTGACTCTTTGTGACCCCATTTGGGGTTTTCTTGGCAAAGATACTATCTACAGATCTACAACCATACGAAAAAATATTCCAATTCACTAACATTTAGAAAAATACAAATTTAAGCAATTCTGATGCAGGGTTGGTGGACCCATGAGTTAGTCCAGATGTTGTGGAAAGAATTTGACAACTGTGATACTAAACCATGCATACCCTTTGACCACTACTAGGCCTACACTCCAAAAAAGGTCAAAGAAAGAGAAAAAGGTCCTATATATACAAAAATATTTACAACACCTCTTCTTTTGTAGTGACAAAGGAAACTAATGGGATGCTAATCATGTGGAAAATTGCTGAACAAATTATGGCATATGAATGTAATGGAATACTATTATATTATAAAAAATGATGAAAGGGGTTTCAAGAAACCTGGGAAGACTTATATGAACTGATGCAGAATGATGTGAGCAGAACCAGAAGAACAATTTCTATCATAACAATTGTAAAAATTAACAATTTTGAAAGACTTAAGAACTTTGATCAACATTATGATCAATCATGACAGGACAATGTCACCACTTTTTTTTTTTAATTTAAAATTTTTAATTTTTAGGCAATTGGGGTTCAGTGACTTGCCCAGGGTCACACAGCTAGTAAGTGTTAAGTGTGTGGTCTGAGGCTGGATTTGAACTCAGATCTCTTCACTTCAGGGCCAGTGCTCTATCCACTGCGCCACCTAGCTGCCCCAATGTCACCACTTCTTGACAGAGAAATGATTGACTAAATATACAAAATGAGAAACATGTTTTTGGACATCATCAATATGGAAATTTGTTTTGCTTGACTATGCCTCTGTTGTCGTTGCTGTTTTTATTTTAAATGTTTCAGTGGATGAGAGAGAAAAAGTAAAATGTTTGATAATCGAAAAAAAATTACAAATAGGCCTTTGCTTTAATGGGAATATTGTGAAGCTTTACAGCTTCTTAAAAGCAATCCAGCCCATTTTGCTCCTTATTCAACTCTGGGACCGACTTGTTCATCTGTACTGTTAGTTTCAGATATACACGCCGATGGACAAGCTCAAATAGGGTGTTCTTTCCAATGCATGTTGAAATCGGGGCAATAGACATTCATAACCCACTTGGCTCTTCTTGTATACCTGGATAGGCTGAACTCCTATGGATCTCTTCCAGGAGGCGCCATAATGTTCTGGGATTTGATGCTATATCGTGAGCTAGCAGGAGGACTTAGAGGGTGTTAGTAGGTGACCATTAGGCCAATGAGAATCCCTCTTTGACCTGGACTCTGCACTGTAACTCTTCCTTCACAGTGGTGAATACCTTTGCCTAACACATCATCCCTGTTTATGCTTCACCTGATGTTTATTTGAGGGTCATTTGTTGTTATACCTTCCAAGGAATTTTAAATGATTTTGATAGATACACACAGGGATGTGTTGGTAATGTTTAATAACTAGTCCAAAACATGCATTTTTATGTTTAAATTACATCATTAACATTTTCTTCATCACTTCCTTAAGTCTAGACAGCCACAAAACAATAAATCAAGATTGAGTTTGTAGCATTTGCTGATTTCTGAGATGTGAACGCTTACCCTGAAAATTTAACAATTAGCTCTTGAGAACCGTATAAGCTAGCTCCAGTAAATGCCTAGCTAGGAGACACCTTACTTTGTAAGAGTCTGTAAGGCAGTATTTTGTTGTGCTGAATCAAATACCTTTTCATAATCAATAAACAGTACAGTGGAATCTTCTATTATGGTTTTTTTTCAGTTAACTGTGAAACAGCAAAGGTGCAGTGATTAAATATCACTTGTGAAAGCCTGATGGTCACCTACTAACACCCTCATTGAAGATGTCCTCAATTTGTGTATAGGACCACGGGACTTTTCCACCAGATTTCCAATGGAAACTTTCTATGTTGTCACCTCCATTAGAATGAGAGCCCCTTGAGAGAAGGGGCTGTCTGACTTCTATGTGTATCCCTAGTGCTTAGCACAGAGTAAGCATGAAGTTGAAATTCACACCTCCTCAGTACCCCCTACCCCTGGGGCCCCTCCTAGACCCTCCATTTGAGCAGGGCATGAAGGTAATTTGCCTTATCATTTCCCACTTGGATGCTCTTCTGAATTTCATGATCTCCAGAAACATCATTCTGCAAGATGAAATCAACTCTGTAATTCAATCTTCCTCAAATAATTTTCCACCCCAGCTTTGATGTTCATTATCCACCCCCACTCCCCTTTTCCAATTTCCTATGTGTTGTCTTTCCCCATTAGATTATGAGCTCCTTGAGGGTGGGGGCTCTTTTACGCCTTTCTTTGAACCCCCAGTGTTTAGTACAGAACCTGGTACATCGCAGGGGTTTAATAAATGTTTACTGACTCTGACTGATGCACTTAAAAATGCTTTATTCATTCATTCATTTATTGTTTTCTCAGCAGTTACCTTTTTTCACTATTAATGAGGTCCAAGATTTTTTCCATGCCTTTGTTATCTTCCCTTTCTTCAGATATTTTGGGTATTGGTCCTTCAATGCCTTCCCAATTATGTTACTTCCAGCACGGACCTCTTCTATACATGCTTTGTCCAATTTGTTCATCTTCTTGAGCGCCACGTCTACCTCCTCCATAAGCACATCTCTGTAATGTTAGAGTCCAAATGTGGTGGGTGCACCGTCGTTAATAGAAAAAAGTTTGTCATAATGATTGGTGCATTATTTAAACCACTCAGAGTGGTAAACCAGCCTACATTCTCCTGAATTCAAGGACCTCTACAATCTGGCTCCCCGCTCCCTTTCCAGCCCTCCTTCACACTAATCTAGCCCAACTGGTTTAATAGTCAGTCCCTGAATAAACCTACCTTGATACCACACCTCCCACCTCCTTACATTAATCCACATCTGGGATGCACTCCCTCCATCCCACCTTTCATAAACTCTACCTCTTCCTTCAAGGCTGTTTAGTGCCACCTACTTAATGAAGCATTTAGTGACCCTCCCCTGGAAAATGTTGGTGTCTTCTCCCTTCTCAAATTATCTCGTGTACTCATCTTTCTACCAGCTGCAAGCAACTTGAAGGGACAAAATTGTTTTGTTTCCCCAGCACCTAGCATACAGATCTACACATGATAAACAGCTAATGTTTTCTGAATCAAATTAAATTAGACAGACCACCAGAGTCTCAAGTTATACCGGAGGCCTGGCTCTAGCATCCTTCCGAGGCTGACTCTCAAAGTAGCAGGAAAGAGCAGCAGGGGAAGGCAGAACTGTTTTCAGTCCCTAGAATTACGGCTTTTGAAATTTTTTTTCTCCTCTTCATCCTTTCCTGGCTCTTTAGACAGGCAAGCTGATCCACAACAGAAAAGGTACTAGCAATCGTGACTCTAGAAGCCTGATGATGAAGCCTGTGTCCCATCTCTTAGAGGAGGCAAAGCAAGCTAAGCATTTCAGACACAGTTCACGTGTGAATCTGTTTTGCTTGACTATACATGTTACAAAAGAGGACTTTTCCTTGGGGAGGGGAAAGGTATGGGGTAGAGTGGTGGGCAGTGACAGTGATGCCAAAGAGAGAAGAAAGCAAAAAGCTTCAAAGAGAAGAAAGACAAACAGAAGAGGACAGAAGTTCAAATGGGAACATGGACTAGCAAGACAGTGCTGGTATTACTATATTTCTTGCATAATTCTTCTAAAAATATATGGAAATGTTCACATTTGTTACTGTTTATTAATTTCATAAAAACAATTTTTTTTAAGCAGTGGCCCAAGTTCTAGCCTCAGCTCTTCACCTTAGGAGCATTAAAAGCTTGCAGGTCCCCAGTGTGAGTTTTCCCTGAGATCCTAGAATGACCCAAGTATCCCCCAAGAAAGTGATTAAACCTACATCTGGAATGTTGTATTCCAAGCTCTCCACTCCTTTATAATGATGGCTATAAAATTGTGTGAGCCTGACTGTGGCTCCTTTCTGCCTGCTTGTAGTATTTCTTCTTTGACTCAGAAGCTCTGGATTTTGGCTATACCGCTCCTATAAGTTTTCATTTTGAGGTTTCTTTCAGGAGGTATATTCTTTCTATTTCTGCTTGGTCCTCTGGTTCTAATCTGGGCAGTTTTCTTTCAAAATTTCTTGAAATATGATGTCTAACCTCACTTTTGGTCATGGCTTTCAGTTAGCCCAATGATTCTTAAAGTATTTCTCTTTAGTCTTTTTCCCAGGTCACTGGTTTTTGCTATGAGCTATCTTAACTCTTCTTGTCTCATGGAGTCGTTTTCTATTTGGTCCTTTCTAATATTCAGTGAAGTTTTTCCCTGCAGTTTTGTACATTACCCGTCTTGTGTCAAGCCATTAATTACCAAATCTTTTTTCCATATGTCTCACTTCATTTACAAAAACTTTTATCGGCTAGGCAATATGGTTAAGTGACTTGCCCAGGGTCACACAGCTAGCGTCGTGTCTGAAGCCAGATTCAAACTCAGGTCCTCCTGACTCCAGGGCCGGTGCTCTATCTTTTAAACTTTAAAAAGTTTTTGCTTTATTTCTTTCAGGAATACAATAGCTGGAAAGCTATACTGGTTCTAAGTGATAGAACTGAAAGCTTCTCTTCATTTTGGGATTTCTGCCTTAAATAGTTAGTTCAGGCTTCAGACTGGGATGGAGGGTGGAACTAAGCCCCCTCCCCTCTCCCGGGATCAGAAGCACACAGCTGCTGCTCCTCACTACAGAAAGCCTAAGCATAGGTTCCCTTCTCAGTCAATCCTGGAACTAGGTGCTCAGCAACAGAGCTACCAGTTGGCATTTGTCCTGGCACCTACACAAGGTTGGTAGGATTTTTTTTTCCTTTGCTGGATTTAGAACCTCTTCTTGTGCTGGAATGTCCCTAGGGGGTCTTTCCTGGCTAGACCCCTATCTCCAATGTTAAAAGAACTGTCTTGTCTCTCAATAGGGGGACCTGCACTTCAAAAAAAACAAAACTGATTTTTCTTGGATTTTCCAATTAGGACTCAGTTCGGTTCATTTTCCAGGGGTTTGGAGGTGTCATTGGGTGAGGAGGGGAGTTTAGGTCTTTGTCCTGCTACTCTGCCTCCATCCTTAGACTATGACATAGCAGAGACAGTAGCAGCATTAGGAGGTACTATTGTCTCCAAACACAGAGACCCTGGATTCTGACATTGGACTACAGAATTTTGGCCCTCTCACAACATGATCATCCCCAAACATCCCACTGAGACATTTCCCTTTTCTTCTGACAATACACTGTTGTGGAAAGAAAACTGTACTAACAATGAGGAGCCACCTCATACATCTCTGACAAGGCAAGGTCACAGAATCATAGATCTATGATGAGCTGGAAGACACCGAAGAGATCACGTAACCCAACCTTTTTATTTTACAGATGCGGAAAGTGAGAAGTTAAATGATTTATTTGCCCAAGATCACACGGGTAGTAGTAAGTGGCAGGGCCAGGATTCAAATCCATGTTCTCTTACGACAAACACAACGCTATTTCCAGTGCGGCTTGCTGGGAACTTTCATTTGCCTTCAAAGCTCTTCACAACCTGGCCCCAATCTATCTTTAAGGCCCCACTGAACTTTACCACTCCCATTCCTGGACACACACATTCTGTAATACCACCAAACTGGTCTTCTCTCCTCCGTGTCCACCCTATGCCTCAGCACTTGCCATCCTAGATGCCTACAATGCACTTGTCCCTCCTTACCTCCACCTTATAGTCTCTCTCATCCTTCAAAAAACGGCTCAAGCATCATCTTCTGAATGAATTTATTACTAATTCTCAGCCGTCTTTCCTCCCACGCTACCTTGTACTTGACTACTTTGTTATATTCACTATGTATTTATGTTGTAATTTTAAAAATATATACTAGTCTCCCTCCTCCATGAGATCAGAAGCTCCTTGAGTTTCGGCAGTTCATTCTTTGTACTTGTATGTCTAGTATCTAACACAGTGCCTAGCACACAGTGAGGGGCTTAATAACTTTGTTCATTGACTGAGGCGTATCTGAGAGATTGGAACCAGGACACTAGAGACCAGGAACTGGGGAAAGGGGACAGAGCGGGAGCAAGGGTGTAGTAAGGTAACATGGTGCAGTAGAAAGGACCTGGTCACCAAATCAGTAGAGGTGGGCGGGAGTGCTGGTTCAGACATTGATTGTGTGACGGTGTGCAAATCATAACCTCTCAGAACCTGTTTATCTCCAAAACAGGGATAATATTTAAAGACAGCTCTCCAGGACTGTTATGAGGAAAATGCTTTGTAATCTTTAAAGGTGAACTTTGAGGATGATGTGGGAGAGAAGAGGCATTACTGTGTCTAGTGTGGCATAGAGAAGGACCAGTGACATAAAAGCAGAAAATGTTAAACAGGCCCAGAAGTAGAAGCCTGTTATGGGCTAGAAGAAGCCTTGTCCAGCTCCCAGCCTCATCCTCTTGTTATATCACCATGGTCCTGAGCTTGCATTCCCTAGAGATGGCTCTGCAGATATATAGGGATGGAAGCACAAATGGAGGAAGCAAAGGTGAGAGACAGGGAGAAAGAGACACAAAGAACAGGCAGTGGGAAAGACAAAGGCTGGGTAAGCTGCCTGCATCAGGGGGCCTCCTGTGCTGCTGCAGGAGATGCCTAAGACATGCAGGCAGTGGGAAAATCCTCACTTGGCACAATCCATTTCCTCTCCAGTGAGTAGTGCTGAGGCCACCCCTTGGCTGCGCAATCTGTGCCACCAAACCCCTTCCATAAAAGCATGCCACCCCCTGGTAGCCACTGGCATGGCATGCAGTCCCCTGTACCCACATAGGCACTCAGATGAGCCTTCGTGGAGTGGAAAGCTGTACGTCTTCTTTCTTGACATCTGGAATATCTGATTCAATAAAGCAGCTACCGAGTACCCACTGTAGGCCAGGCACGTCAGAAAAAGCTCCCAAGTCAGGGCCCCTTCTGGTATTATCCTGGCATTTTTCTCCTTCCTCACTTCCCTCCTTGCATCATACTTACCTGCATCCATGCCCTCCACTGCCCAGTCCCACTTATTACAGAAGGCAAGTGCCTGGGTACACAGTAAGGTCATGCTTGTTAAATCTGTGAAGTGCCAACCACACCCCGAGGAGGCAAGTGATGTGCTCTTTCCCAAGGAGGGTGTGGACAGTGGAGGTCAGGACAAAGCTGTGGTTGCCTTGGCTGAGCAGGACAGATGGCCCTTTTCCTTTCTCTACCCCTTATTTCTTGCATATGCCCCTTTTCTGGATACTTTTTGTGATGCTCCACACAAGTGGGCTGTGCATACTGGCTGAGAATGGAATCACTTCTTTGCCCATCTATACCCGAGCAAGGGAGCCTGCTGCAACGCTTGAAGGAGGGCTGGACCTGCAGTCTGAGCTCAGGCTTGTTTTGGAATCCATTGCTTATTACCTCTGTGTCCTTGAGCAACCCACTGCCTGCTCTGGGCCTGCTGCCTCACCTGTGGGGGTTCCATACAAGCATCTGTCCTGAGCCTATGGGAGCCTGTGCAAAGGTACCTTCCATCAGGCTCCCTGGCTCCTGGCATGGCAGAGCAGTGAGGGACCTTCGAGGTTATCAGTCCTCTGGGTCACGCTAAATTCCTATGTATCTGAGAGCAATTCTCTACTGTTGTGGCCTGTCCTGTGTCCTCATTTCCCTCCTCAATAAAGTGGGAGAGCTGGACAAAGTGGTGAACTGCAACAATGCCTGCATTGAGGTGACTCTGCCTCAGCTCTGACACAGGCACTGATTCATGGTGCACGCAGCCGGGTGCTCCCTCCCCCAACAGGCCTGAAGGCCGCTGCTAGTCTCTCTGGGGGCCCTTCTACTCGCCCGGATGCCTTGGTATTGCCTCAAACTCAGCGCATTCTCTTTCCCCAGAATCTGCCCTTCCTCCCAACTGGGACATTTCTGCCTAGGCCACCGTCATCACTGCCAGTCACGCAGGCCCCAAACTTCACAATCATACATCGCAGGGTGGTGGAAAGGGCCCTCTTGACACTTCTGGGAAATGCAGTGCAGCACGCATGTGGTGAGAAAAGCATGTAGCCTTAAAGCCCTATCTTTTTATTTTAGACCTCCCACGTAGGGCTCACAGCTGACGCCTCCTTGCCCGCCTCATTTCCTTCTGCTCCTCTTACTTCCCTCGGAGCTACCGTCCCCATGACTTGCCATCTGCGATGGGGTCATGATTTCCTAACTGTTTTCTCTGCCTCTGGAGTATCCTGCACGTCCTGCCAGAGAAGTACTTCTTCCTAAGGTACAGGTTTGATCACATTACTTCCCTACTTTAAAAGCCTTCTGTGGGTTACCCTAGGCTCAGTGAATAAAATACAAATTCATTAACGAAGCCTGGCATGCAGGGCCCACTAAAACTTAGCTCAAACCTACCTATCCCTCCAGCCTTATTCAAATAATCAACAATTTATTAAAAGCCCATTATGTGCCAGATACTGGGGACACCAAAACAAAATAAGACCTTCTCTTCCCCAAGGGACTTAGATTTTACTAGGGAGACACCAAATACTTTATATAAAACCTATGCAAAATAAATTGAAGGTCCAGTTGAGGAGGGAAGGTACTAGCAAGCTGGGGGATCAGAAAAGACTTCACTCAGAAGTCGCCACGTGAGACAAGTCTTGAAGGAAACCGGGGATTTTATGGGGCAGAGGTGAGGAGAACGCTCCGAGCCTGGTCACAGCCTGGCAACAGTAACTTCATTGTTCATCTCCCTGCACTCACTGTCCCAGACCAGCCAGATGACTTATTGTTTCCTGATCTTATTCCGATTGCCATGCCTTTGCCTTTGTGTATGCAACTTTTCGTGGCTAAAATGATCCCTGCAAGAAGAGATTGACTTCTGCAGTCTCAGCCCACAGACTCGGAGCTGGAAGGGGCCTTAGCTGCCCCCTCAGTGAGCCCCACCCCTCCCTGAGAACCCCATCTTCAGTTTCTCCAATAAATGGTCACCAGACTTCACCAGCAGACCGTTGGTGAGGGTTCCACTTCTAGTTAACCCTACTTGGGGGTCTTTATGTCAAATCAGAATCTACCTCCTCTTTGCCCCTTCTCCCTGTGTGCTTCCTATTCTGCATTCGGTGAGGTCATTACAGTGGGGGAAAAGTAATATTATTTAATAAACAATATTTTTCTGTGATCCATCCTTTTCCTCATTTTGACAGACCCCACTTCTGAAGGCCTGACAGTTTCTGAAGGGCATAATTGTGATCAAGCAAAGCTGTCACTCCCAGCCCCACCAATACATCTTCTTGGTTTTTTTTTTTCCTCTTTGGTGAGGTAATCAGGGTTAAGTGACTTGTCCAGGGTCATACAGCTAGTAAGTGTCAAGTGTCTCAGGCCAGATTTGAACTCAGGTCTTCCCAATTTCAAGACCAGAGCTCTATCCACTGCACCACCTAGGTGCCCCAATACATCTTGTTAATTAGCTCCATCTAGGCCCTCCACAGTGGATGAATCGAGGCCTTGCTTTCCCTAATCAAAGTTAGGGGTGACCTGGTCTATGTCGGGGAGACCAAACCAGAAAAAACCTAATAGAGATAGCTTGTTTTTCTAGCCAGAAATCAGTCTTGTTGTCCCCCCATCCCCATCCCAGGATGAATAGGGAGGAGCTGAGAACTATTAACCTACCTCCTCATTAATATGTCCACCAATCAGGATTGCCTTGCTTTTGTCAGGAGAGGTCCAAGTCAGGCCAATTAGAAGAAAGATACACCTGGGCTTAAAAAGCCTTTCCAGGCCTCACTCTGGATCTTTGGCACACATAGAGGCTAGCCACTGACCTTTTCATTATCAGGCTGCATGTCCCTGATAATCAATACTATCTTGCTCAGAGAACTGTCTCCCATTTACCTACTTGTTAAGTTTCATTCATGACAACAGCACATTTAATTCCTTCTCCATGAAACTTTTCTTCAGACACTTGACTTGATGATAGTTATCATCCCCCCCAAAGTGGTGAAGACACTGCCTAACTGGGAAGCCAAAACGAGTAACCACCTCCAATACTCCAGACATCAGGCCTTCCTTGATGAGGCCTGAGCTCTCCTGAGCCTCTCTGCCTGCTGTATCACATCCACTCCAAGCTCACCTGTAGTTCACCAAAACCCAAGGTCATTTTTATACCGCTCAGGTGCCTCACCCATCCCCCCTCCCACCTCCAAGAAGGCTTCACTGATTTCCGTGCTTCTGGTATCTTCCCACCCTGGAGCCTTGCATCTCAAGGGTGCAGCACTCTAACATGTACTTAAAATTCTTGTCTATCTCTTTGTAGGCTCCTTGATGGCAAAGCAGTTATCTGTATTTCTTCCAGCGCCCTGCACACAACAGTGGCTTAAATAAATGTTCATTGAATTGAACTGAAAGGTTTGGCCTATATAGCATTTCTCCTGAGCCATGAATTGCTTATTCCATCTTCCAAACTCCCCAGTACCCTAAGAGGCCAAACTGATTCCTGCCCACCTTGAGCTGCAGCTCAAAAGGAGTCCTCTTGCAATTAGGAGGTCCCCTCCTAATCCAGCGATCCCTGTGACGTGGTTGAGCTTACTTAAAATTGCGGGGATTTTTACCTTTAAAAAGGCAGTGGGTCTATGAGTGACCATGTCTCTCTCTGCTCCATGCTGAACAAGAGAATTTTGCACAAAGTAGTTTGAATCTGAACAGCTAACGGCACGATTCCATTATCCCGCAGCAACATGCCCAGCCTGTGCTGAGAGGGCTGAGCAGCAGAGATGCCATCATTGGCCCCAGGGTGCTGTAATATAGAATGAGGCACCTCCTCCTTCAGCTGGGCTCCTGAAATGGACAGAATGAAAGCAGAGGGAAAACGTTAGGTTCGCCCCACATACAGAAGGAAACACCACATGTGCATCTCTCACAACAGTTTTATTACCATCAAGGCATAGGCCAGGAGGCTTGCTGGACAATGCCCACCTCATCAGAGAGGAACAGAATACAAAAGGCCCCAAAATTCTGCTTTTAATACAACACAACTTAAAAAAAAACCCACTTGCCCAGAACTCAAAATTCTTTTAATAATTACCTGGACAAGAAAATCTATTATCACCCAAACACATTTTTGAGGCTCTGTATACATATATCCTACAGATATAAAAAACTGCTATAGATCAATCATGTGCATATGCCACACAAACACACACTTGCACCCACGCAAAATATTTTCCTGACCTCGGGTTATTTGTCCTGTGACTGTGAAATGGGGAAACTGACTTGGTATCAACAAATCAGAGGCACTTTTTAGAGGGAAAAATGTTTCGGACACCTAAGTGGTGGACTCTGGGTTCTTCTAGGTGCTTTTCCTTCAATTCAAGGGAAAAGCAAACAGTCTGAGGCTATGAGAGAGCTGGGAGGCTTGGAGGAAATCAGATCTTCAGAGAACTTCGATCATCTACTAGAAACTGCTTTTCATTTCAGGATGGAGGCATCTTACAGAAGCACTCAGGAAGCTGGAGAAGGAATGCTAGGGGCAGTCAAGATGCCTCTGGCCCCTGGTCCAGTATCTAGAGTTAAAAAATGGAAATGGAAAAACCAAACCAAAAAATGGAAACAAAAACCCAAACCAGCCCTCCCAATCCTGTGGTCGATGCCCCACATGTAGAGCGCAGTATATTCTGGGTTGCTGTTAACAGAATCCCTTGTAATTAAAAGGGAATGTTATCCCTGCTGACTATGGGAGCCCAAAGTCACAGGCATCACAGCACTCAAAAAGTATTTATGCCGGGGTCTGCTCCTGACCCCAAATGACCCGAGTTGAAGGCACTTTTCCATCAGCAAACTGATAATGGGGTCCAGTAAATCTAGCCTGTTCAGCTGCTTGGACCAAGGGGGGTCTGTGTAAGAGTATTCTCCCTAGGGTCCAGGAGGTTCTTATCAATGGCTCTTTGGTGGGAAAAAAAGGCCATCCTCTAGATGAATTACTATAAAGGTGGCAAGTGCTGAGACTTTCCCCACTCCCCTCAATGGTTCATTTCTCTCTATTCTATCCAATTTATTCCATATTAAAATTAGATGCCAGAATACCAAGAGATACAAGCTTAACTAAAAACCTATTACTTTTATTGAATGGCAAAACTCCACTGTCTTAACCTTTGGCTTCAGTTTGTTTCCACCACCACACCACCTCAAAAACGTGCCTAACTGGTCCCAGGAGGTGGGGGTGCTGCTCAAGGGGCAGGGAGGCAGCTTTGTACAAAACATTTTCACACCAAGCATACACCCTTGATGGGCAGGGCTGCAGCAGCTTTCTCTCCATGATGAAGGTCAGTACATGTTAACCTATTTTACATCCTTCAGCTCTAGCTGGGGGACGTACGTAGCTAATTTGAATTTCCACCTTCATCAGGAATCTTCATTTGCAGCACCAAAATGGGAACAGATCAGTACATCATGAGATGGGAAACACTTCCTAACCACAGGGGAGCAGGTGATGGGGACTAAAACATTAACCCAGCCCAAATGGCAAAAAGTCTCATTTAATTTACAACGTAGTCAAGGTTACAGGTAAAAAGCTACACAGAAAGTGTGGAAAAAAGTCTATTTCACAAACGTACAAACCTCTGTCCAAAGCTCATGTCGATGTTCCTACCTTTGTCTCCTGTGTGTGCAGGTCAAGACCAGCCTTAGAGCTCTGAGCTACCAAAGACTCACATTCACAGGGAGGGGAAGGCTGCTGAATCTAGCCATAAAGTCATCCTCTTCTCAAGAGACGGTCAGTCACTTGCCAAACAAAATTATTTAATGTTCAATTTAAACTACCCTCAAATTGGCCACAGCCTTTTTTAAAAAATCATCCTTGTAACACATTTTGAAAGGAGAAATAAAGCCTTGAGAAAATAGTACCGTGAAATCAAATGAGAAACATCTGCAAATGGAGTGCTGATATTTTATAAGAAAATACAAGGAAAATTAAAACCACATTGTAACCCCAAACTACAGACCTGTATCTAACCATTCTCACCCCTACAGCAAGGACAGAAAGGAAAAGGCCTAACTAGGACCTCAACTTGTTGACTCGGGGAAAAGCTTAAAGTTTAAACCTAAATAAGGTTCCCATGAAGAGCTTTAGAACCCTCTTCTGACCAGCCTATAATCCATGAGACCCCTACTGTCACAGGGGAAATTCATTAAAATCAAAACTATCTGGGTATTTTAGGTACAGCAAATACAAATCAGGTCACATGACCTACATCATCAGTAACACCAGCAGCTTTCCTGCCATATGGCCATCCAACTCATCTTGAATTTTCAGAGACGAGGGCCTGGTGTTCATTACAAATTTTTATATATATATACATATATATATATATATATAAAAACTTCAAATAAAAAAATGATCCTAAAAGGGAGGTTGAAGGGACTGGAGAAAAGATGGCTAGGCAGTTTAGCTCAAAGGATGCATGAAATAAATTTCTATACATAGAAAGCATTCTGAAGACAGATCTTTAACGGGATATTTCAACCCCAGCCCCAGCCCCAGTCTTAAAATTACATGGTTAGGACACCAAGAGACATTCTGAAAGACGATACTGCACATATGGAAAATTTTTTTTCCTCAGTTCATTAGCCCCCCAAACCACCCTTCCACCCAGTTCCCACCCCACCCCAGGACCAAAAATATCAAATCAATAAGGAGGGTGTGGGCTTCTTGCCAGGCCAAGCCTCCTTTGCATATTTCTTCTTCTTGGGCTCGTTTACAGCTTCAGGATTGTAGACCGCAGGATTTGGTGCAGGGTTCATATTCACTGCTGATGGCACCACAGGGGTCAAGTCCACCTCTGGAGCGAGGTTTGGGTAGGGCATGGGCAGGCCACCAATGAGCGCAGTCCCATGGATGCCATGTGACTGAGAGCCTGCCTCACTGTGGGTAGGGGGCAGACCCCCATACAATCCTCCGCTGAATGGAAAGTTCTGCATGCGCCTGCTTACTGACTCCTCCAAACTGAGGGAGCCAGGGCCCTCGACACGTTTCTTCTGGGGTTTGCAAAGAAAGTAAGAAAGAAAGAAAAGAGAAAAGTGAAGCAAAATAATGAATGGACCCCTTCGCTTAAATCAAATTCTATGATAACCCTGAAGGTAAAGGTACAAGACAACTCCCCAGCCTCCTGCTTCTACCTGTACTTTGTCTTAGACTCACAGACTCAGAAGGACCTTAAAGGTCAATCAGTCTAACCACCCAAATAATAGAGATGGAAGAGGCCAAGAAATAAAAGGTAACGTTGAACCCTCCTGGAAAGAGAATGTAAAACAGACCCATCACTGGCATGCCTTTCCATATCCACAATGGACAGCACACTAAGCTGGCTGTTAGAAGATGCCTCATGGGCACTATGTAGCCCAGCCAGATAGAACCAAGCAATTATCAGGAGACTGGAAAACCGAGACTGACAGAAAGAATCCCAAGAACCCAATATAGTAATTAACTACACACTCAAACCCCACTTACACGAGGAAAGGGTGTTTAACAAGACAACACCCACAGCTAATGGCACACTACGTACACTGCAAGCGCATACCTTGACTGGGACCACTGCAGTCTGTACCATGTTTCTGAATCTGCCAACAGAAGGATCCACGTCCTCTGCAAAGGGGAATGAGAACAAGGTGAGCCTGATGCTTAAGTGCAAAGAATGCAGACAAACCTTCCATAAAGTTCTTCCTGTGGCACTGCCCGTCCCTCTGCAACACTGTTTTTGTACAACTAATCTATGATGTCAGAGGATACGCCACAACAAGAAGTCTCCTCAAAGCCTACCCCAGCATCTGCCACCCAAGTCAATGGAAAGACTGGAGAACAGCGCTTAGCATTTTGCCACACTTTGCCAACAGACCTGAACTCTCTAAGGGCTCAATTAACTATGTTGTGCAGCAGACGGGTAACTAGCTCTAGCTCTGCAGCTCGTGAACACATTTTACTAAGTCACAATCTTGCTCCTGGCCTCTCCCATACTCAGCAGGAGACAGATCAGCTAAAATGACTAAGAATACTAAGAGTGTGAAGAAGGGCAGCACAGGTAATGCCTTGCCTATACAAACAATGTATTCCTGAAAAAAAAAAGTCCATAAAATGAATTTCTAAAACCAAAATCCTATTTTTTAAGGCAATTGGGTTAAGTGACTTGCCCATGGTCACACAGCTAGTAAGTATCAAGTGTTTGGTCTGAGGCCAGATTTGAACTCAGGTTCTCCTGACTTCAGGGCCAGTGCTTTATCCACTGTGCCACCTAGCTGCCCCCCAAAATCCTATTTTAAAACAATCCTGCATTGAACCCTTTTGCAACATAAAGAATCCCTCTATTATGTAAACAGAGCACTAGACTTGGAATTAGGAGATTGGAGTTGGGATCCCAGTTCTGCCACTTGTTAACTACCAACTTAGTCATAAAATAATCCACATTTGTAGAGTACTTTTGTTATAGTCTATCTCATCCGACCCTCTCAAAAGCACTTTGCGGCAGGGCGTACAAATCTTATCATTCCCACTTTACAGATATGGAAACGGAAGCTCAGAGATGAAGACCCGAAGGTTAACAACTAGCAGAGTCAAGATCTGAACCCAGGTCTCTAACTCCAATCCCAGCTTTCTCTCCACCAAAGAGAACTTTTGTTTGGTTCTCTGAAAGGACAAGCTGCTTCTCTCCTCAGGGAACCAGCAAGAATACACACTCACCCGGATTGATGATCTCATCATCTTCACTGAACGTTACCCTAGAGTTCTTCCGCTTCCGCTTTGGTCTCTGGATGTCCAAATTCCCTTCCTCAATGGTGAGAGTGGAAATCCGTTTGTTATGGGCTGTGTTGAACTCTGTCAAGTTCTAAGGATGGGTTCACAGAGGAGACAGGGAGTCAGTGTACCTACAGATAAAGGTTTCAGGGCAGGGCAACAAGATAAGAGTATCAGGACTAAGAGAGCCTTTGAAAATTCATCTCGTCCTTTCTAGACAGACAGGGATCTAGGTTGTTGTTAAAAGTCTCAATTTCCTTTGTTCACATACCTAATGATCCTTATTTGTCAGGATTTGGGAACTCCCTCTGTGATTAGTGGAACAGAGATCAAAAAAATGAAGTGAGAAAGCAGGGGCAAATATTACTTGGGCTGAATTCTTTGCCTGAAGAAAGGTGATTAAGTTAGTCTTTTATGTGTATCACGATGACAGGCAAAGGGAGGCAGCTGGGTGCAGTGAGACTGGGGGAGCCCCAAAAAACTTGGTTTTAAGCAAAAAGGAAAAGCTGCAGGAGCCCCTTCCCCTGTGACCACTAACTTCTGGCATTAAGGTTTTGCTCTCCTTCTCTGATGTTCTATTCATACCTATGGAGCCATCTATCTCAATAACTGACTTTGTCTTCAGCACAGTTAACTTGCTTTGTCTTCTGCTGGACTTACTCCAATCTGCAATGCAGCCCTGGATGTTCCAATTTCTGGAGACCAGTCTTTCGAGGCTGCTAGGCTGCCTAGTGTTTCTCTAGCATTTCACTAAGAGCTGGAAAGGAGGATGGGGAAAAGGCAGGAGGGCAAACAGGAGACATTAACAGCCAAAGGAGCATCTGGCTGAGGAATTACCAAGCCCCAACCCCTCGCTCTATAAAGAAGAAAACAGGCCCACAGAGCCAAAGCTGGACTAACAGTCCATGTCTCCTGGCTCCCGGGGTTCTTTCCACTACACCAATTTCTCATTTTGGCGACACAAAAATGATATACTTTCTGTCATTTGCCACATCTATACATACATGTACAGGTATACATGTGTCTAAAATAATCACATCTATGGCATATGGGCACTGCCTAAAATCACATGCACATATGCTGTAATCATCATTTCCTACACAGCAAATGAGAGGAAAGAGTTTAATTTTAATCTTGTGAGTTTGTGCCAAGAAAATGAAAAACTGTCGTGAAAAGAATGCTGGGAGTCAGGAGACCTGGCTTGAGTTTTGCTCCAGATCTGCTATGGATCTGTGCAGCTATGGCTCTGGGAAATTATCTTGGTCTGAGAATGTGGGCAAACGTATGTATACATAAACACACATGACTCCACCTGCACTATCAGCCCATGTACAGACTCAGAGCTTTAAAAACAACAAGAAATTCATTGTAGAAAAAGAAAAAAAAACTCTGAGGTCAAAAACAATCAGTTTTCAAAAGTTATCCTACCCATTCATTTCAGGGGTTCACTGTGGCAATTAAAAAAAATTAATGTAGGGCATCATGGAGGATATGGACAACTGGAAAAGCAGCACATCAGTCATGGACTGAAAAGGAAGCATAAGCAAAGGGAGAGTCCAGAGAGCCACATCAGTACCCATTAGAGGAAGGGCTCCAATGTTGGGGTGGATTCTCCATAGGGGATTCCTAGAGCAATACAGAATAAAATGAGAAGCCCTACAGGGGGCTACAGTAACTGTGGCGTAAGGAGCACCCACACAAATAAGATCACAGATCTAGCCAAGTATCAGAAGAATATAAGAGTTAAATTAAAAATGTAAAACTCTGATTGAATTAAAAGTTTTATGAACAAGATGACTTTTCATTTGTTAGCTCTAATCAAATCAGTCCTGGAGATGAGAAATTATAAGTTTGGGTTTTAAAAAGCAAAGGATCAAATACATTTGTGCATATATCAGGGTGACAATTATGTGACTGTCTAAAGCAGAAAATTAACCTGCTTCCATTTTAAAAAAGTAACCCAAGGTGGTGAGCAGTAAGGTGCCATAGCATAGAGTGCTGAACTTGAATTCAGGAAGACCTAGGTTCCAATCCCTCCTCAGATACTCAGAACCACTTGTAGCCTCAGTTTCCCCAACTGTAAAATGTGAAAAATAATACCTATAGTACCTACCTCACAGGGTTGCTGTGAGGTCCATACAAAAAAAGCATGTAAACGTTCTTTGCAAACTTTAAAGTGTTCTATAAAATGTCAGTTCATATTAAGGTGCATCAGCAGCAGACCCACGGGAAGCAGCTTCCAGGAAAGGCAGACAGTACCGCTCTAGAAATGGCTTCCTCCTGTGGGCAGCAAGGCCCAGAAAACCAGAGTAAGTCCTGTGTTAACATTCTGAGAGTTTCTAAACTTTGTGGTCTGATAATAGCTTAATAAATAGGCTAAAGCTTCTATTCTGTCTTTAAGCAGTCAGCTAGAGGAGAGGGAGAACACCTGTGACTCACAGCCTACAATGTGGTCTATAAGCCCATGAAGGTGACAAAGCAAGGGAGATGAGATGTCATGAGACAGATGAACTTAGCCCCCCATACCAAATAATCTCCCATTTCCGGGTGTGATGAAGTAAGCCTGCATCACAATGCCCACCCAGCAAAAATGCTGATGTACGCTCTGGGACTCTGAGGCTCTGTTTGCTGCTGATTCTTTCATTCTCCCAAGCGGAGAACTACAAATTACAAGAATGGAGGATGTCTCTGCATCATTTACATTCCACACATTAGTCCAAAATATCAAAACAATGCCACAAAATTACATCAAGCTCAGTCTCCTCTTCTGGGAGGCCCAGTAGGCCCTTGAGTTCATCATCCTCTCCACCCATCTTCTCATCTCCTTTCACGGCTGATGGCAATGTCTGAGGCTTCTCACGAAGAGTGTATGCCCGGGTAGATGCACCAAATGAGACTGTGGAGTCGATGGGGATCTGCTGTGGCTTGTGAGGTTCCAATCGAATGTGACCCAAGAATGTGCCGTGTGCTGGGAAAGATCAGAAAGGTAGGAGTGAGAAATGAGATACTTTGTGGTGTCCCTGAGTTTGGAGGGGGAGAAGATTCTCTGCGACCTCCCAGCTCACTAATACCCTGCAGTTTATCCTAATATAGTTTGACAGTAACAGAACACTCACACACATTCTCTCATTTGAGCCTCACAACAGGCCATGAGGTGGGCAACATAAGTATTCTTATTCTCATGTTACAGATAACAAAACTGAGGTCGAGAGAGACTAAGTAACTAGCCCAAGGTCACAAAGCCAGGAACTATCAGAGCTAGATTTCAAGACCCTAGGTCTCCTGGCCTCTCCCCATCACATCAAGCAACCAGCTCAAGAGACAATTTGCCTGTAAGCAATGACTATATATGCGTAGGGTTTCTTATAACTTAATGGTTGCAATCAGGTTTCTCTGGTCAGAAAATTCACGCATTCACTCACACAATTCCCAGCCCAGACACTTCCTTCTTCTGCCTTTTAAAAACCTGGTTCCCTTTCCTGAACTTTGAATGTTTCCAGCTCATTCCCTACAAAGATTCAAATTCAACTGCCTCAGCATTCTGAATGCTACTCTGCTGCCAGGTTGCCCTGGTCCAGTCTAAGGTGAAGCAGAAATGTCTCAGTTCTTATCAACTACCACAATGTGTACCGATGCAATGGTTATGAACTGGGCAGACAAGACTGTAAACTGAGTTTCTCTAAAACAAAATAAGACCTGGCTAACATAAGGAGTGTTTCGGGACCACCCTGATCCCCTCCCAAGATTTTTCCACTTGGGCTCCACCAAAATGAGGATCAGAGACTAACATACATATGAATGAACAGAGGACTGTGGGAGATCAGGCTCTCCTAAGGCAATGCCAGTGCCATCATATGTCACTCACGGAGAACCAAAGGGGCTGAATAGCCATGAAATAAGACCTCATGCAATGAACACGTGGGAAATTTACAAGCTGAAATTTCAGATTCATTGAAGTGATTCTCAAGCTGTATATAATAATTATTTGTGATCAAGTTTTTAATCCAATTTTGGTTCCCAACAGTCACTCAGCATATGTTAAGGCCACCTTTTTTGCTATTAGTTGTCATGTTCTCTGGGCACAAATGAAAATTGTCAATGATTCACTGAGGCAGCTAAGTGGCTCGATGAACAGAGTGCCAGGCAAGGAGTCAGGAAGACTTGAGTTCAAATTTGGCCCCAGGTACTTATAGCTGTGTGACTCTGGGCAAGTCACTTAATCTCTTTTGCCTCAGTTTCTTCATCTGTAAAATGGAGATTATAATAGAACTTACTACCCCCTGCAAGGGTTGTTGTGAAGAAAAGATGAAATAACAATTGCAAGGCGCTTAGCACAGTGCTCAGGACACAAGTGCTATATAAATGTCAGCTATTATTAGTCCAAGTAAGCCAACATTCCTAAAATGAGATCTCTTCAAAAGTATAGTATGAAGGGGCAGAAATGTGTGTGTAAGAGAAATGTCTACATACAGAGTATACAAATACACATGAAGGTGGGGAGCGAGGGGGGAGGGGAGAAGAAGAGGTAGAGGCAGAGAGAGAGAGAGAGAGAGAGAGAGAGAGAGAGAGAGAGAGAGAGAGAGAGAGAGAGAGATAGAGAGAGAGAGAGAGAGGTTGATGTTGAAAGCTAACACCACAATTGATTATACTCAAGTTTTACACAAGCCAGATTCTGGGATAAAAGTGTAGCACTTATTCAGATTAGTCACAAAGCAATTTTAATATCAGCCACAGTAAAACAATCAGGATGATGAATTTTCTGCAATAAAAAAATTCGAATTACTTTCCAAAGTCAAATAATCCCACCAACCTTCCAAAACTGTTCTCTCTCCACTAGTACAGCTAGTGCTGGTATTCTCTGCACAATATTGTGATCTGTCCACTGTTATTTTACAGTAATATCATTACTATGCCACAACCAGATCCCAACTGCTTTGTCTTTTGGCTGGTCACCTCAGGACAGCAGTGACAAACTGAATTAGAGCTCAAGTCCTCCTTGGCATTAAATCCTCTGAATTTCAGGCCCATTTTAGAACACTACTTCCACACAACTAACTGTTCTCCATAATGCTGGTTTTCATGTAATACCGTAGTTTTGCAAGAGCAATCTCTGATGTTGGGTAGGATTAAGGACTCTGTCCAAGTGAGGACCTGTCACTTACTAGCTTCTCCATAAATTCTTAGGTTCCAGAAGGCAGCCTCTCCCCAACCCCCACTCCCTGGTCTTGGGGAGGCTACCTCTCCCTCTGTTCTCCTACTGCCTTCTCTGAAGGAGAGGGAGGGAAGCCTTCCCATATACCCTTTCCCCCTATATCATCCAGTCCCCATCATCAGTTATTTCAGGGGAAGAAGATGGCTACAATGGCTGGAAAAGAACAGGCATGAGTTAACTTGTATTTGCAAAACTAAATGAAAACTCTTAATTTCCCATTTAATTAGCAGCAAAAAAAAAACTGGTTAGTCCAAAGTAGTTTTATATGAAGCAAAGCTACTTACTACTGTTGAGATCTATTAGGAAAACTCTCTTCAGATGCTTGTGGTAGACCAAGGCAGCATGGACTCGAGAGCAAGACTGGTGATCAATGGTAAAATCACATAGATCAGGGTTTCTCCCAAACAGGTAATACTTCTTTTCATCAATGATCAGTTTCTAAGGTTGAGTACCAAATAAACATCATTACTTAATCTTGCATTGACAGATTTCCCCCAAAGCGTTCCAATCATTAAAGATATTTAAACAGTCTTGCAGTCTGATAGTTCTAGGCCAAAGACAAAAATATTTTTTGAGACTATTAGGATGAATACTTTGGAAATTTTTGATAACTTGGATTCATTACATTTCATAACACTTCTCCTAAACAGAGATTACACGACAAATTCAGGAATAAGGCTCAATTCCCCCCCCCCCCCCCCCGCATCTCACATTTGGAAAGGATGCCAGAGGACATTTAATCCAATCCGCCATGTGAGCAGGAATCCTGTCTATAACAATGACCCAGATAAATAGCGGTTCCAAGCTTTTGCTTGAAGACTTCTAGCAACTGGAAATTATTTTGTTTCCATTTCCCATTCCACTTTTGAACAGTTAATTACTACAAAGTTTCCCCCTATACCAAATGGAAATTTGCATCTCTAGAACTTCTAAACTCACCACTCCTATTTTGGAGTCAAGCAAAACAAGACATCCCTATTCCACATGATGGCCCTTCAAATGTTTTAAAAGAGGAAGCATGGCTACTCTGTGTAGGTGTCCTATATTCCACAGCTTCTTCAAACAAACCTTTAATAATGCCATCATCTGCCGGCTTCTCCCATTCTGGTGACCTTTCTCTGGATACATGCCATTCTGTCATGGGTCCTTCCCAGGCAGCCAATGCTTTCCTTCTCGAAATCCCTGGCCTTTATTCTGTATATACTGATCTACACACAAGTTGTCTCCCCCTGTTAGAATGTCAAATCCTGAAGCGCGGGGACAACTTAGTTCTGTCTTTGCATCAGCAGGCCCTGGTGCACAGCAGTTGCTCTTTAAATAAAGCTCACTGCTGAACTGTCACTCTATGATGAGGGCAGGGGGCAAGACTCTCAGCTCCTTCATTCTATCTTTAAGTTAACTCCTTTTCTACCCTTTCTCACTACACCACCACCACCACCACCACCAAACAACGCAATTTAAAAATTAAACTTTTCATATTGCCTAATTTCAAGCTGAAACTGAAAAGGAAAAGGACAAGGCATAACTAAAGCAACAAGACTGACCTGAACACATTCATTCGGATTTGCCTATCCAAACCAGTGCTATTCATCACAACAGTCACCCTGAGAAGTTGCTCAGAGCATTCAGAGAACAAATCCTATTTATGAATCCCTGCACAGGCTCACGGTTTTGACTTTGACCAAAACCACTAGCCTGCAGCGTGACTGCACATCTTATTCACTGGATAAAGCTCTGTATGACTTTTGACAGTATTCACCTTCAAAGGACAAATGTTTGCCAGCCCTGAGGAGGCACAAAAGAACACACCACATATTCTGAAGACAGCTGCCAAAAGTAAATTCAGCTCCACAGAAAAGGAAAGAAGGCAGCGTAGGGCCTCTCCCAAGGCACTCTGGAGGACAAGCTTCACACCTGCAGGACAGGGCTGGGTTTCTTTTTTAAATCAAGTTCCTTTTAAACTCAACTTCATTTTTTAAAAACACATTCTTTCCTAGATAAAGAAGGGTAACAAGGAAGGGTGGCCCTGGGAATGGCACTACTGGGAATTAGGAAATCCTGAGTTACTGGATCCACAGAAGACTACTGCTTCCCTGGCTGCCTCAGTTTTTCAATTACAAAATAGAGATAAATGACTCTGAAGACACAATCTACCACACTGAGGCCATAATTTTTCTTTAATTATTTACATCAAAATAGAGGTGTTTCCAATAAGCTATATCCAATAAGCAGATGCCAGGCCAGTGCAGTGGAAAGGAATGTCAAACTCAAAAAGAAACAGGGCCACTAAAATGCACAAAAGGATCTCTGCAGCAGCATAGTGACTTAGAAAATTACTTATTAACATTTATGTTTTACTGTATTTTAATTTATTTCATTAAATATTTCCCAAGTACATTTTAATTTGTTCGTGCATGTCTGACACTTGTCATGGGCCATGGTATTTTTAAGTATTCAAACTCATTGAACATAACCTAATTTACCTTGGGTTCAGCTTAAATTAGTTCACGTTAACCTGGATATGTGGCTCTACTCTCAACACACACAATGTTCAACACCTGATGTTCATGGAGTGGCTTCCAGTTTGAGCCTGTCGCCTGCGGGCCTGGCAGACCGTGGGTCTGAGTCACTCAGTTACTGAGCTCTATGTAGCACGTACCCTCCTTCCTGATAGCTCTCTCCTCTCCTGGCTTTAGTATTGTGCATCTAAAACTGTCATGCTCTCATTTTACAGTTGAGAAAATGGAGTCTCAGAGAATTGCAATGACTCACCTAAGGTCACACAGGTCATGAAGTAATAATCTGAGCTTGAGACCTCTGGTTCCAAACCAAGCTTGCCCTTCAAAGCTGGTACCTCTCACTTCTGCTCTTTGCTTCTCTTCTCCTTGGTGACCTTATCTACTCCCATGGCTTCAATTATTAGCATTATGCAAACGACTCCCAAATTTCTATCTTCCCTCTCACCCTTTTCCCTAGGGCTCCTGGGCTAGATTTCCAACTTCTGGCTGGATCCTGTCATCCAGATGTACCAATGGAAGCTTAAATATGGACATGTCTAGGAATGAACTAATTCTCCCTCTAACCTGCCTTTCCCCCTTACCTTCTCCATTCTGGTTAATGGCACCACTACTCTGCCAGTATCCCCAAAAGGTCAATTTTAACTTTTCTTTCTTCCTTGCCCCACATATCCTAGCAGCTGCCAAGCACTTCTACCTTCAAGATACAACTTGAAGAAAGTAAACGAACATGCCATTTATTAAATGCCTACTACATACCAGGCACTGGCAAAGCACTCAGTGCTTCATAAATATTATCTCATTTGATCCTCACAACAACTTGGAGATAGGTGCTATTATTATCTTCATTTTACAGATGAGGAAACTGAGGCAGAGAGGTTTTGGGACTTGCCCAGGACCACACATCTGAGTCTGAGTTGGGATTTGAATCTGGACCTGGTGTTCTATCCACAGCACCACTTAATTGCCCTCAGTTTGATCCTGAACCCTTTCTCTTCACCCCGCCGCCCCCACAAACACCTTAGTCCCATTCTTACTCTCTTTTTATGTAGGCTACAACAACAATCTTTTAACTCCCCATTCTACCTTCATCCTATTCCTTTTCTTCATTCCAACCTTCATACTGCTTCCCAAGTAATCTTCCCAGTGTATTGTGATGGTCAAGTCACTCCTCACTCAAAAACCTTCAGGGACTCCCTAGCTGCTACCATATAAAATATAAACTCCAGGTGCCAGCACTCAAGGCCCCTTACACTCTGAATCCAACAGCCTTGTTCACATATTCTCAAGCCAGTCAAATTGGTCTCTGTCTTCCACTCTCTCCTGCACACTGTCTCTGTGCACCATGCCTAACATAGATTCTCTTTCCGTCTCTGTTGCAATCCCACCCAATGTCCTATGTAAAGCTCTTCCCAGAGCCCTCTACTCCTCATGGCTCAGGTGAAAGTGATTTTCCTTCTCAAACTGCTCACACCTTTTTTTGAATCCCTTCTTTGCATTTATCTCCCTCTGCTTTGTATCAGAGTTATCTGTATCCACGTGTCCTATCATCTTATTTATCCTCAACAACTCGGACAAAGTAAATACTTTAATAGAAGTCTGTTCTTTTGAGCTTGCTGAAATTCTGAGATAGGCCAGAAATTGTAAAAAATACAACAAATAACAGTTATCCATGCCAAATTTCTCATAGCATTCTCCATTCATGTTTTATAAATATAGATCATGGATTTATGATGGCAAACTGACTCTTTACAGGTTCTGAGAATGCCGTCAAATGAAGTAAGGCTTACAATAAGTCTGACAGGACCCACTCCACTGCTCTCAATGTTACAACCACTTCTCAGACTATGGAATTCAGCTCAATCTGAATTCATTTCAAGCAGGCTGGTCTTGTGCTTTTCACTCCAGCCATTATTCCCAGTCTGGCTATCATCAGGACTGTACCTTTGAGTTATAACCCAGAGTGCTCACCTCAACATGCTGGGCTTAAAAGACTCATGGTTTACTTTAATATTGCACTTATAAAACCCAGCTATCACAAGACACATCCCAACCTTCTGGAGCAGCTCAGGATACAGATAGCTTGGTTAGTATCAAGTGCTTGATAATTCCATAGAGATAAGACCCATCCTGATCTGTCGCTAATAAAAATGGCAAAAAGACACTCTTAGGATTGTGACTTGCCAGTCATGTCTCACCCAGTCATCTAACAGCATTTAAAGAAGAGAGAGCTTTCACTCTAGGAACCAACAACCAATCTTACAAATTATGCCTACTTGTCTTCTTCCCCCCAATATTGATAAGAGAGATGTTGGCTGAATTCTAGTCACATCAAGAATTCATTAAAAGCTTAATACATGCCAGGTACTGTGCTAAGAGACTGAAAAAAAAAAAGACAAAAATCCTGTCCCTGCCCCAGGGGGGTCACAGTCTAATGGAGGAGCCAAAATGCAAATAACTATGTACCAACAAGACATAAACAAGATATACTGGGAGAAGTCTCGGAGGGAAGAAACCTGGGAAAGGCTTCTTGTAGATGGTGGGACTTTAGCTGAGACTTGCAGGCAGCCAGAGAAGTCAGGGTGGAGATGAAGAGGGAGACAGCTGCAGGCACAGGGGGATGGCCAGTGAAAACACTTGCAGTCAGGAGATGGAGAATAGTTTGTGAGGAATGTTCAGTCAATAAATATTTATTAAGCTCCTACTATGTGCTAAGCACTGTGCCGAGTGTCAGAGATAGAAAAGTAAAAGACAGACCCTGCCCTCAGGCAGCTCACAGTCTAACAGGGAGACGACATGCAACCAGTCCCGTACAAACAAGATACAGACAGCATCAACTGGAGGTAATCTCAGAGGAAAGGCATAACAATTAAGAGGGGCTAGGAAAGGCTTCCTGAAGAAGGTGGGATTTTAGCTGGGACTTGAAGCCAGGAGGGGAGATGAGGAAGAAGAGAACTCCAAGTACAGGGGACAGCCAGGAGCATATTACTTGAGAAATAGTAAGGAAGCCATGGGATTGCAGGGTACATGGGGATGAGTGTGTGTATGCGTGCATACATGCATGTATGTGTGCATGTGTGTGTGGTGAGGGGGGCTGCAAGTTATAAATGGCTTTGAACACCAAACAAAGGATGTTCTGTTTAATCCTGGAGATGATGGGGGTCAATGGAGATTATTAACTAAGGGGTGATATGGTTAGGAAAATCTACTGCACAGCTGAGGGGAGGATGGATTAGAGCTGGGAGAGCCTAGAGGCAGGGAGATCAACCAGAAGGCTACTGCAATCGTAACTGAATTTCTTCCCTAATGGTCTTTAGCAAAGGCTATTAGGGATTTCTGGAATGCTCTATTATAAAGTGCTTCACAGACATTTTAGCCCAGCATTCCAGCTTAATCTTCCACTAAACTTCCTAGGTGTCTCTTATGATGTCTCAAAAGTCCCCTGAGCTCTTGGAAAGCTATGCCACTGAAATGCAAGGTCTGGCAAATTATACAGCATCAGAACAGTGATGGATTCATCTACCTGTCAGGTCAGTCCAGACTAGCTAAGTCTGGAAAGTTCAGCAAGAGGAGGCTGACTCCCAGGTGATGATTTTGGGGGTTTCTGGACCCAGGGCTTTATGAATGAGTTGTCTACTAAAGTGTTGAAGGGCTGTGATCTGCACTAGTGCACTTCTGAAACCACATTCACAGACCTTCTGAAGTACTTCTTGCAATAATCTCAACAGGAGGGTCTTAAAAATTCTACTTTCAGAAGTAGAACCTATGACAAAACAACTAGAAGTGACTGGCCTGAGATGATACTGAATGCGTATGCAGAACAGAGCCAGCTCCTCATTTCAATTCACACTCTAACACAGCAAATTCCAACAGGGACCAATAACAACAAACTGTGTCAGGAGGAGCCTTCATACAAGGAGCTGATAGCAGGCTACTTGTCAAGCCCACAGTAGGACAGGACAATGGATAATGTGCAACAAGCAAAGAGAAATCATAATTCAACAATATTGCTTGGACTAAAAATCCTGAGTAAGTGCTGAAACTGATTTAAATTACAGAGGTTCTTTGGTCCACCTCCTTACACTACTTTAGCAACTCTGCTCCTGTCTCTTGGTGATGAATATGTCGCAACCTAGGAACAATTCTAATCCCTGAAAGTTTTTTTAAGAGTTCCATCTGGAGTCTGGTTAGGGACCCTCAGCTTCCAATTATGAGCTCCTTGGACAAAATCATCACCGCCATTCCAGTTTTAAAAGCACGGCTCCTTACTAGCTTTGTCCAATCCTCTGAGCAAAACTCAAAGACAATCCTTATAAATGCCTCTTTCCCATGCTCTATCTTCCATGTGACTTACTGAGCTAATTAATTCCCAGTACATTCCACACATCCCCTGTTGCTTCCCAGAAAGAGAAACAAAAGTTTCTTATAGGCTCTTTGCCTACATCCTCTCCTTAGAGTTCAAAGATCCATGACCTATTAAAAACTCTTCACTGGGAAGCTGGAGGAGCTAACGTATACCTCAGTGTCTGCAAGAGATACATGTGGTTCAATGTGTTATATCATTAAGTGCTTTTAATAGAAAAAAGTGGAAATTGAAAAAGCATTCCTGGAAAACAAAGCACAGGAATGGGGGGTGGGAAGTGACTCTTGTTTTCCCATGTTGGAAAAAACGCATGATATGTATTCTCTTACCTCAATTAACTTGTCTCCTTTGACTACATCCAGATGTAAACCAGGTGGGGGTTTACCTGCCCTAGAAAATAAAGAGAAAAACACCTTCAGGATGAGTACAACGAATGCTATTTACAGTTGTTCCCATTGAGTGCTGTAGCTCTCAACCAGCCTAGAATTAGTTCCCGTTCAAGTAGAAATGCCATCTCCTTCACTGTTATTACAGCTCCTTTCCACTTTTGATGCTGTACTTCTCCAGTGATTCAACTGCTCCAAAACAGACTTCAGTTAAGCAATATTTAGAACAGCAGGAAAGAAACCTATATTTTAAAACCATATGTCTACCTTGCAGAGCAGGCCTATAAAGATAGAATGCTTCAAGCACAGTGATCAGAGAATCTGGGCTTGATTCTAAGGTCTGCCAATTATAATCTGAAAAGGCAGAATAAACTAAGAGGTATCTGGGGCTGAAGGTATGAAACAACATGTCAGGAAAGCTCAAAGTTGGTCAAATCACAGTACAAGTAGAGACCAGTAACTTGGACCTTGAGTTCTGAGACGAAAACAAATGCTGCCCAGTTTGGAGTCATAGGGTAACCTTGGCAGAGGAACCGCCCTACTTCATGCCTTGACATTCTTTGAGGACAAACACATAAAAGAGTACTGGAAGCATCTGCTGGCTACTCCTGTCAGGTAATACTGTCTCTGCATCCACAATAGCCATGATACCTTGAAATCTGCTGCCCATGAGATCATGTCAATGGAGGCCTAGAGATGAACTTAGGAACAAGAATCAGAAAAGGGATCACACTGCATCAAAACCCTTCTACTCTACTCTTTCATTTCATTTCCTATGAAAGCCTGGGGTCAAATAAGACCTTGCCCTAGGCACTGGGGCTAGACCTCAGAGAAAAAAATGCAACTTTATCAATATCTACCTAACCCATTAATATTTGTCTGACTAAGAGGAGTCACAATGTAGTCATCTCGTGACCTGGGCCACATCCTCCTTAGCACACAATGAAAGAGGAGGTATGTGCCCACCACAGCCAGAAGATGGAATGAATGCTCAATAAGTTCAGCCCATTTTGTGCTACAACCTTAAGACTGAATTAATGTAGGTGCCAACAGTCTGTGAATGGAGGCAGAGATTCCTCTAGAGGAGTCCCTGGATTTGAGGTCTGTGGATTCTGGAGAACAATCTTAACACAGCTACAAAACTATGTAGCCTTGCGCAAATGGCTCTGTATGTCTCACTTGTTAAAGGTAGGACTCTAAGCTTTATCTCTAAAGTTTCTTCAAACTCTGCAAGTCTAGTTTTAAGATTCCTTCCAATTCTGACACTTCATGATCACTGGAGGTCAGTGCCCTTGCTCTGGGCTTGCTTCCTTCCCTGTCACAGGAAAAGGACTGGAGGGAGCATCTCAAAGGCGCCAGCAGAGCACAGGGCTTGGCTGCCAAGAGAAGGCTTTGGGGGCCCAGCTTGGGGGTGGGGGAGGGAGGCCAAAGGGGGGGTGGGAGGAGAGAGGACACTGAAAGACTCAGACCCACGGGGCCCTTAGAGATGAGAAGAGGCCAGCTCCAGGCTTCCCATCCCAGGCAATAGCCCTCAGGGAGGATGTCTGCGGTTTCTCTCTGCCTCCAGTCCGTCAGTCAGTCTGTCCGTCCGTCCATCTGCCAGGTCTGGCCCCTCTTTGCCCGTCTCAGGCTTCTAGGTCCTCAGGGACCTAAGAGAGGAGGTGGGGGGGGAGAGGGAAGGGAGACCCTCCCCTCCCCCAGCGGCCTCAAGCCCGACCCCCCGGGCCCTGGCCGGCCCGGTGAGGGGAGAGGAGGCGAGACGGAAGCAAGGATGGAGGATGGAGGCCGCCTCCTCTCTTCGTGCCTCACACACCCGCCCGCCCCAGGCCTGAGGCCTGACCGCCGCGCCCCGGAGACACTCCCGCCCCAGACCCCCCCCGCCCCGGGCCCCGGCGCTCACCAAGTCGGGCAGTCGAACAGCGGGAGACTAGAGCCTGAGTTCGCGGCTGCCGCCATCTTGCGTCTCCCCCTCCCATTTGGAGAACCCAAAGCATGCCGGGAAGTGGGAGGACTGAACTGGGGAGGGGAGGCGAGGAGAGAGATCCCAGCAGTCCGTGCGCGTTCCTCCACCCCCTCCTCTGAAACAGACCCCTCATCTCAAAGACCTAATTCCGAGATCCAGAGCGCATGCGCTGCTCTGTCCCGCCCTTCACATCGGCCTGTGCGTTGGGGTTTGAGCCTTGGCCATTATGTTCGGGCCAGCTGAGAACTTCTGTAGTTAGTGCCTCGGTTTCTAGTTAAGATTAACTAAATGGTCTCTAACATCCTGTGTTCTAAGGCCCCTCCCAGCTCTGATATCCTGTGTCCTAAGGGCCCTCCCACCTCTGACATTCTGCGTTCTAAGAGCCCTCTCACCTCTGATATTTTATGTTCTTGGGCTCCTCCTAGTTCTGACATCCTGTGTTCTAAGGGCCCTCCCAGCTCTGACATCCTGTGTTCTAAGGGCCCTTCCAGCTCTGACATCCTGTGACCTAAGGGCCCTCCCATCTCTGACATCCTGTGTTCTAAGGGCCCTCCTAGCTCTGACATCCTGTGTTCTTAGAGCCCTCCCACCTCTGACATTTTATGTTCTAAGGTCCCTCCAGCTTTTGATGTGGTCTAAGGGTGCTAGGAACCCCAAAATGCAAGAGTACAGAGCAGGTCTGCCTTGAAAGAATTCAGCCACTCAAGCCTTCTTTCAGTCAGAGTAATAAGTTTTGTTGTTTTTTTTTTTTTTAACACGGGTGGGCCAGATTCTAAGAATCTTCACAATTTAATCAGGGGTAAGAAAAATCTGGAAGGGATCAAGAAGTAGCAAGTAGCTTAGGGTGGTCCAGAGGTAACAGAGAAAGAGGGAGGGGATTAAGGAGTGTCAAGTAAGCTAATTAAGTAATCAAAGTGGGATGGGGTGGGCCAGATGCCTCAGGCCAATGCCAGGGACTGGGTTCCTGCAATTTGTGGGAAAGTTCAGGGGCTTTTCCTTTTAGAGGTCCAGATCCCAAACCCCATCATTTTGACATTCTGCAATGGATAACTCTATCCATGGTCTGGAGTCAGGAAGACCCGAGTTCAAATTTGGCCTCAGACACTTGCAAACCATGTGACCCTGGGTAAGTCACTTAACTTCAGTCTGCCTCAGTTTCCTCAACTGTAAAATGGGCATAACACCTACCTCTGTAGGGTTGTGAGGATCAAATGAGATGATATTTATAAAGTGTTTAGCACAGTGCCTGGTGCATAGTAGATCTTTAATAAATACTTGTTTCCCCCCTTCCTTGTAGTTCTAATATTCTGTGTTCTAAAGCCCTTCACAGCATTGACACTTTATGCACTACAGCTGCTTCCAGATGACTTTGTATTGTAAGGTTCCTTTTAGTCTGACATTCTGTGTTTTATGGCTCTTTTCAACTTTTACCCTCTATGTTCTAAGGTACCTTCCAGTTCTGACATTCTGTGTTCTGAAGCCCCTTCCAGCTCTGAGGTCCTTTTAAGATCTAATATTCTGTGTGTGTTGTCCTACACACAATTTCTTCTAGCACTCTGTTATTAATTCTGCTCCCAGCTTTGCCATTTTATATTTTAAGGCCCCTTCTACCTTTGATATTAGGGCAGCAAGGTGCTGCAGTATATAGAGCATTGAGTCTGAAGTCAAGAAGATCTGAGTTCAAATCCGGCCTCAGACACTTCCTACCTGTGTAACCCTAGGCAAGTCATTTCACCCTGTCTGCCTCAGTTTCCTCATCTGTAAAATGAGCGAGAAAAGGAAATGGCAAACCCCTCTAGTATTTTTGCCAAAAAAACCTCAAATAGCGTCATAAAGGGTGGACATGACAGAACAACAATAACAATAAAGCTTTGAGGGTGTACATTCTAAAGTACCTCCCAGCTCTAACACTGCATATTCAGTGTTCTAGTGTTCTATGTATTGAGATCTTTCCAAATCTGACATTCTATGTTTTATGATCTAGCCCAGTTGTTGACATTCTGTATTTCACAGCTGCTGCCAGCTCTGACGTTCCATGTTTTAAGTTCCCATCTGCTTCTGACATTCTGTATTCTAAGGGCCCTCCCAGAACTGATATTCTGTGATCTAAGATTCAAAGAGATTATGATGTCCCAAGGTCCCCGCTTGCTTTAGAGCCTAAATGATTCATATACTCACCACCTTCATTCAGTGCCTTTCCCCAAGCTCAGAACAGGGAATCCTGCTTAGTAACTGAATTGTAACTGAAAAGCATGTAGAGGAGTCCCATGACTGATTTCTATCTACCTCACTCCAATTCCTTAGCTTTGTCCCTTTTGTGATTAAAAATGACCAGAAATTTCTCCCTTCACCCAGGGCTCACAAAACTTTCACATAAACTTTCATTCAAGAGACTTCAGCTCCCACTGATATTTCTGCAATGAACTTCAATTGTATTGTACTTTGCATTTTAAACCAGCTGAAGAAAGGGACCTGGTAGAGGTTTAAGGGGGTTTGTAACATATTACCAGCCACGACTTGTTTTGAATGATTATATCAAGGCCAATATAGTATCCAGGAAGTGAAGTAGACTGATCACATAAAAAATAAGTGATGACGGATTAGCAGTCCAAATTTTAAACTGATGTCCATGAAATATTTAAAAGGTCCAGAGAAAGGCTCCCAGCACTTAAGCTAATCAGGAGTTACATGGAATGACATGGATAAGATGTATATGGGATGAGAAAGCAAGGATTCCTAGAATGCATCTGCTCTGATGAGTACACATGTCCATGAGATTCCAGAACCACTGAAGCATCAGTAGTATGCCTGAAGTGGAAAACAGATAAAAGCCTTTCCTGGGGCAGGACAATGAAGGGACGGAGCAAAGGAGTCTGGAAGTCTATTCTTTTTTCCAATACTGATGATTCAGAGACACCTACTCTGTCCTTCTTTCCTAAAGCTATGCCATGCTAGAAGGTGCTGGATTTAATAGACAAATTCCTTAAAGCCCTGATCAGTTCTGGAGAAAGGCAGCAGCTACACACAGAGATGAGGAATTAAGGAACAGCCTTACACAGAGAACCAAAATGGAAATCCAGGGCTCCTAATTAGTAAATATTATTTGTGAGAATCTGATAAACTTACACAGCAGCTTATAATACAAAGTTGAAGTTGGCAGCAAAAGAGGTGGTCCTTTCTCCCTAGTTTGACCATTGGCCAAAGTGTCAAGTTGTGTTGGCCAAAGACAAACCCATCAAGCCAGGCCTCAGTTGTGCTGGTTATCTTTACTCTTATGATATGTCCAGCTCTTCCTTTTCTTTTTACTGGACGGGGAGTGCAGCCTCCTGACTCTCCCAAAGGAAACAAATTCTTGGATCCAGAAAGACGGAAGGGAACAAGCATTTATTAAGTGCCTAATATGTGCCAGGCAGTGTTAAGCGACTTACAAATATTTTCTCATTTGATCCCCACAATAACCCTGGAATGTAGGTACTATTATTATCATCCTCATTTTACAGTTGAAGAAACTGAGATACAGGTTGAGGTACTTGCCTAGGTTCACACCGGATCTTCCTGATTTCAAGCCCAGCCCTCTATCGACAAGGGCCGCTTAGCTGCCTCTAGGCAGAGCTAAAGTGACCTCAGCAAAAGAACAACATGCTCCAATACAAATCAAGGTAACTGATTGTCTTTGCAAGGTTCAAGAGCTTTCACCATAAGATGCATACCTATAAATCACAGAGATGTGGAAGGAACCTCAGAGGTCTGCAAGTCCAAATTGTATCCCAATGATTCCCCTCTACACCATCCACCTGACACACCAAGACTCAAGAGTACCGGGAACCATTGCCTCCCCAAAAGAGCCCGTTCGATTTTTGGACTGCTTACATTCTTCTGGGTAGATCCCGTATTCTACCAGAAACACCTCAGCCAGCCCACAACACTGTCTCAGCAGAGAGATGGTCCCCTTTGTGTATTTCAGTGAGATCTGACATCTTAAACCAGCTAGGGCAAACACCTGGTGAGAAGCTCTTGGTGTACAACATAGGAAATTTAGTTGGAATTTAAGAAATTATGGACTCTTGGGGAACAGGTTGGCTCAGGACATTGGTAGGACCACCTCTTACTGGGCATATTTCCTGTCCAGAAACAGAATGTGTTTTTGGCTAGCTCAAAGAGCATCGTGCTGTGGAGATAGGAATGGGCTAGAATACTGCTTTTCATCTATCATCTTAACCGTGTGAAAGTCTGTAAACTAGGTTCTACATAGGAATGCTGAATCCCACCCTCCATTCTTTCTCTCCAGTTAATTTTGTGACTCATGACTTCAGGAAGATGGGAATGATTTACACACCTTCTTTTCAGGGAGTGATCTCTGAAAAATAATTATATCTTTAAAATGCTTTAAGCAACAAAGGAGACCAAGGTTCACGTACTAATTTCCGGGGGTTATGGGGATCTTTAAAGCTTTCTGTCCTTTTGATCCGTACTTTAGTGGTAACTTTTGGTTAACAATAGGTGTGGTATAGTGGAAAGAGCGCTGCATTTAAAGGTAGAGAACCTGGACTGAAAACCCAACTCTGTTCCTTACTCCCTATGTGACCCATGAGCAAATGAATGAATCTTCCTAAGCCTCAGTTTCCTTATTTATTAAAAAAAAAAAAAAGCTAAACAAGATGGCCTCTAAGCTCTGTTGGTCACTCTCAATCATAACCCTAGAAGAAGACTCTTCGGCTTTTCCATTTCTTAATACTCAATACACTCAGGTGTACTTTCCCCCAAGAAACCTCAAATGCCGTTCTTACCCCTATAATCCTTTCTGTTCTAGCCATGTTTCCTCTGTTTCCAGCACAGTGGATGTGAACACAACCCTTTTGGTACAGGGGGGCAGCTTGCACTATCTGGCCCCCTTAAAATGCAAATAACCTCTTTGTTTGAGTACTCACATCATCAGTGATGTCAGGACAGGCTTGCAGACTGGGATACAGCCATTTAAGTCCTCAACATTGTGAGTTGTAAAGCCTGGGGTGTTACCTTTTCATTCTGATGTGTCCACAATGGGAAGGGTAGAAAAGGAGAACTGATCTAAAATTTGGAAATTGAATTCCTGGATTAGAAATCAGAAGATACCGGAGGCACATTTGGAATCTGAAAGCTTGCTTGGGTTATCCAACACCAAATGGATTTTAGTAGTTGAAGGCAATATGGGAATACGAGAACAGGGGACCCTATCTCACACACATTTGCCAG